AAAAACAATTTCATGAATCTACAAACGGTTTTATAGGTCGGAAAATGGTACTAGGAGTCTAAAATGGTTCCAATGAATACCAAATAATCCTGGTGGCAACTTAAGGAGATGAACACATTCATTGGATATAAGCGTTATCTCCAAATAGTTATTTATTCGGATATGACTATATCCAATATTTATATATTTTTTATTTAAATGTGTTTTTTGTTTAGAATATACACTTTCTTATATATTTTACTTTGGCAATTTTGTTCTGCTGACTATAGTACAGTTACACATATATCCAATAAGCTATCGGCGACAGACATTTTTTAACTTCCCGAAGGAGAAGTTTATGTTTTCGTCAAAAAATACGAATTGCTAATTGTATATTTTCTCGACGTTTCAAGCCATTCTGAATCGAATAAGACCAAATTTCGAAAAAGTATGTGTGAGAACAGATTTTTTGCCGTAAATCGACGTTTTCTCGAAAACGGCTGGACCGATTTCAAAAATTTAAAATCCATTCGATGTATCTCGATGAGGAGGACTATCGTTTTTGTGCGACGATCGGCCCACCGTTTCTTCATAAATAGCAGAAAAGTGAAAAGAGTTTGAAAAAAAACGGCAATTTTCATGAATTTTTTTTTGGTGATAGATATCATGGTCTCCTAGATCATACTAAAATATTACGGCCCTGCGACAAGTCGTTTAATTTTAAAAATTCGTTAAAGTTTGCAAAAATTAGTATCGTTTTTTTTGGCATTAATCAAAATTAGAACTTTCATCGACGTTTGCTCAAAAACGCCTGAACTGATTTCAGAAATTTAAAATCCAATTGATATATCTCGATGAGGATTATCGTTTGTAAGTTTTGTGCGACGATCGGCCGAGCCGTTTCTTTGTAATTTGGAAAAAGTGTTAAACTTTTCGTCCACATTTAAGCTCATACTACCGAATCGATTTTAAAAAATCATAAATTGTTTGAAAGATATTAGTTGGGAATGATACTGATTAGTTTTAGGTGAAAATCTACCGAGCCGTTTTCTTGTAATTAACTGTTGAAAAAAAATTTAAAAGCCAATTTCAATAGAACTTCTTTTGGCGATATATATCATGGTCTTATAGAACTTACTGAAATATTACGGCCTTACGACAAATGGTTTAATTTTAAAAATTCATCAAAGATTGAGAAAACGAGTAGTTTTTTTGACGTTTGTTAAAATTAAAATTAGACGATTTACTTGATATATTGATAGAGTACTTAGTCTTAATGAACATACTGAACCATTAAAATCCTACGGAAACTGGTTCAATTTTGAAAATGGTTGATTTTTGAAAATTTGCTTTTAGAAAATACTCCGAATTAACGTGTTCTTTCCTTTTCAATTATGTGTAATAAATCCACTCGGAATACTTTTAATCACTTATGAATTAATTTATTTTTTTTAAGTCAATTATTTACACATATCGGAAAGTTCATGTCACTTGCCTCAAGGCAAAATACCAATACCAACTAGTTTGTTTTTTTGCAACAATTATTTTATCTACCGTGCTGTAATGAGAGAAAACTGCATTCGACTGTTTCTTTTAAAATTTCCGCGTTTCACATTTGTTAATAACAATTTATTTATTTTGCATAATTTCATAATTATTGAATTAATTTAACTCACCGATTAAAAAACAGAACAGAAACACACAAATTCGCGACATTTTACAACAATTTATAAAGTTCGACTGAAAAGGAATCCAAAACGACGACATTAACTTTCATTTTGTTATATGCGCGAATAGACCGACGGCTGGGGACAAATTTTGGTTTTATAAACAAACTAGTTCCAAAACATGGCATCGTGCCTTAAGGCAAATTGCTGAAACTTCCCGTACCAAAAATTATTTTTTTTAAAAGATTAACATTTTTGAAAAAAAAATTACTCTTAAAAATTAGATTTTTGAGAAACTATAAATTTTTGACAAAAATTTACTTTTTTTAGAAAAAAAAAGTGTATTTTGAAATATTTTGGAAATTCTGAACTTTTTTTCAAAGCAATCGTACTGCTTTAACTGCATAGAGACGAAATATCGAAGCGCGTAAGCGCCGCGCCGCCGTCTAACGGATAAGCATTGGTACGGAACCCATAGGAATGTAAACAAAATTCATATTTATTGTTAAAATGTCTATAAAATATCTGATAATATGATGTGCATATGCCTTGTGATTTTTGACCGCCAAATGGCATTTTTTTTTTACATTTTTTACTAGATCTCCGAAACCCCTAGACCTGCCTTCATGAAAATTTGATCAGTTCTTCATCTTGTTAATACAAGTAAAATGTTTAATTGAATTATTCAAATCGGACGAAAACTGAGTTACCGTTTCTGGCACTTTTTGCCCCATATCTTCGGAACGGCTAGACCTGCCGTCACCAAAAACTAATCAGCACGTCTCCTTATCAATACGAATCGAATGTTTTTTGAATTATTCAAATCGCTTCATCCGTGTTCCCGAAATCGTCGACAAAAATTTGTATCCGCAAACACATTCGCAAACACACACACATACATTTTTTTTCTAAGGTATGTCAAAATGTTCAGAAACCTTTGAAACGTGAACATATATAAAAAATTTCATTTTCGATCCGTAATCTGTGCTTTCGAAATCGTTAACGAACTAGTGGGGCGCATGGCATCTAGCCTTAAGGCAAATTGCTGGAACTTACCTATTGTTATTTTTTTAAAAACGATTAACATTTTTGAAAAAATTTTACTTCGAAAAAATTAGATTTTTGAGAAACTAGGAATTTGACAAAAAATTACTTTTTTTGAAAAAAAAGTTTTTGTTTTATTTTGACATATTTTGGAAATTCTGAACTTTTTTTCAAAGCAATCGTACTGCTTTAACTGCATAGAGACAAAAAGTCAAAGCGCGTAAGCGCCGCATTGCAGTCTAACGAATAAACATGGGTACGGAATCCATAGGAATGCTAACAAAATTTATACTTATTGTTAAAATGTCTATAAAATATCTGATAATTTGATGTGCATATTTCTAATGATCATTTTTGATCGCCAAATGGCTGTTTATTTTTACTTTTTTTATTAGATCTCCGAAACCGCTAGACCTGACTTCATGAAAATTTGATCAATTCTTCATCTTGTCAATACAAGTAAAATGTTTTTTGAATTATTCAAATCGGACGCTCCGTTCTCTTAAAAACTGAGTTACCGTTTTTGGCATTTTTTGCCCCATATCTTTGGAACGGCTAGACCTGCCTTCGCCAAAAACTAATCAGCACGTCTCCTTATCAATACGAATCGAATGCTTTTTGAATTATTCAAATCGCTTCATCCGTGTTCCCGAAATCGTCGACGCAAATGTGTATCCGCACACACACACACACACACATACATCCATTTTTTCTAAGGTATGCCAAATATTCAGAAACCTTTGAAACGTAAAGATATATAAAAATTTTCATTTTCGATTTTTTTACGATTACTATAACTTGCCCTACGGGAAGTTAAAAATTGTATAAGAAATTTTTATTATATTTTTTTAAAGTGAAGACATCAACTGTGAACAGTATAAAACACGGAATGGAGTATATATAGTTATAATTAAAACATTTTTCTTAGGCCTATAAGATTTTAGGTTACACGAACCTTATCATCATACAAAGCTAACTAGCAATATTTTTTTTCAACAATTTATTATGAAGGAACGGCCTGACCAATGTTTGCCAAAAACTATAATCAGCATAATTTCTAACTGATACCTTTCGAAAGGTAAACGGGGACAAAAAATGGTGGACTTTTCTGCTAATTATTAAGAAACGCCTCAAACTATTTAGAATAACTTGAAGCATCGGGTAAATATGAAATTAGCAATTCCGATTTTCTGGCGAAAAATAAAAATAGAAAAAGATCTTTTGATGTTGCGCCATCAACTCTCCCACCAATGGTATATGGTAAAATACCACACTCTATAATACCAGTCGGCTTAGTAAAAGCATTGATGATCAAATATCGTTCCTGTATATAAAATGATTTATTACAATCAACTTTCCGTAGGGTAAGTTATTGTAATCGTCCAAAAATCGAAATTGAAAATTTTTTACATTTCTCGACGTTTTGAAGGTTTCTGAAGATTTTGGCATACCTCAGAAAAAATGGATGTGTGTGTGTGTGTGTATGTATGGATACAATTTTTCGTCCACGTTTTCAAGCGCACGGATCAACCGATTTCAATGGTTCAAAAAACATTCGATTCCTATTGATAGGGAGATGTGCTGATTAGTTTTTGGCAAAGGCAGGTCCAGCCGTTACGGAGATACGAAGAAAAGAGTGCAGAAAATAGAAATCGAGTTTTTGAGAGATCGGAGCATCCGATTTGAATAACCCAAAAAACATTCAATTCGTAATGAAGGGGAAAAGGGGTGATTAGTTTTTGGCAAAGGCAGGCCCAGCGGTTTCGGAGATACAGAGCTAAATGTGCAAAAAATGGCAGTTTTTGAGAGATCTAAGCGTCCGATTTGAATGATTCAAAGAACTTTCTGCTTGTTTTAACAAAATAATTGCTTTTGAGAAAAAATTTTTTTGTTTCAACCTTTTTTTTTCAGAAAATTTTTTTTTTGTATGTCGAAAATAATTCAGATTTTATTTTTAATTCTGACTAAAGTTTTAATATACTTTAAACAAATAATTACAACTTTGCAATTCAGTTTATATAATTCTTATAAATATTAGACAATGTTACAATATTTATTTATAATAATCTATTTGAAAGCATTTAATACTCCTTGAACATTTTGTTACCCTGCGGAAAGTTTCAGCAATTTGCCTTAAAGCACAATGCCATGGCACCACTAGTCTTATCTTTGCATGATGCTAAAGTTGAATAAAAAATACACACAATACTTAAATAAATGTCTATATTTTCTAATTTTTCTTTTACAGATTGAAAAAAAAATGTTATTATATTATTTATATACAATACATTAATGACATTAATGGTCTTCATTCATTTCTCTTCGATAATGTTCTTTCTACATTTGTGTTTATTCAAATAACGATTATCAGAAAATACTCTATCACAAATTTCACATTTATAAGAATACTCTCTATTATGAGTACGCATATGTTGTTTTAAATATTTCAAACGACTGAAGGCCCTGCCACATTCTTCACATTTATGAGGACACTCTTTAGCATGACTATCCGTATGTTGTTTTAAATCTGACAATTGGCTGAAGGCTTTCTCGCATTTACCACATTGATAAGGATACTCTTTATTAATATGAACACGCATATGCTGTTTTAAATTACCCAATTGAGTAACGACTTTGTCACATTTATCACATTTGTAAAGATACTCTTTAGGGGCATGAATACTCATATGTAGTTTTAAATTAGACACATGACTAAAGGCTTTGTCACATTTATCACATTTATGAGGATACTGTTTAGTAGTATGAACACGCATATGTAGTTTTAAATGACCCGAATATTTGAAGACCATGTCACATTCTTCGCATTTATGAAAATGCTCTTTATCATGAGTGAGCATATGTTGTTTCAAAGTACTCGATTGACTGAAAGCTTTACCACATTTATCACATGTGTAACAACGTTCCCCTGTATGAACAAATAAGTGGCGTTTCAAAATTGCCAATGTATAGAATGACCTATCACAGAGTTCGCATGTGTAAGACTTCATACTTTCTCCAGTATGAGAGCGCTTATGTTGTTTTAAAATACTTGGATGAAAGAAAGCTTTGTCACATTCATCACATTTGTAAGAACGTTCACCAGAATGACTAGACATATGTAGTTTCAAATCATATGATTGAATGAAGGCTTTGTCACATTTATCGCATTTGTAAGGTCGAACCCCAGAATGAAGAAACATGTGCATTTTCATACTTTTCGGTCGTGTGAATGTTTTATTGCAGATTTCGCATTCATAGGGGCGTTCTCCTGTATGAGTATGCATATGATGTTTTAAATTTTGTGATGAGCATAACTCCTTGTTACATAATTTACATGTAAAAGAAAGTTTATCAGAATGAGTACGCATGTGCAACTTCAGGGAATGTGAAGTTTTGAATGCCTCGGAGCATACTTGGCATTTATAGAATCTAGTATGAGTTCGCAAATGATAATTTAAACTATTTGATGAATAGTATGCTTTATCACATGTTTCACATGCATAAAGAGGTTTTTCAGAATGAATACTCATATGTTGTTTCAAATTAAATAAATGTATGAATGTTTTATCACACATCTCACATTTATGGGGACGTACTCCACTGTGAACATGCATATGTCTCTTTAAGTTGAGCTTTTGTTTAAATACCTTCTTGCAAATTTCACATTCATGAACACATTCATGAACACCTTTTTTGGAATGAATGAGCATGTGTTTTTTCATATTGCATAATTGTGTGAATGCTTTATTACAAATAGCACATTTATAAGATTGATCTTTATTTAACGGTTCAATTTTCACCAATTTTCTGTGTATGTATATTTGAGGCGCACTCTTTCCAGAATGAGAATATGTATCTTGCTTTTCACTCGGCTGTATCTCTAAATCAATTGTCTCGGGAAAAGTAATTGGGGAATGATTTTGATCTAGTATATGTTCTACATGTAAAAATGATCTATCGCATGTGATATGTTCAAAAGGGGGCTTCTCAATTTGTTCCTGCTTGACTTCTTCTTCAATCTTTACTTCTGAATTCATGAATCTTTCCAGACACGTATCTTCATCCTCTGAACAAGGTTCAGGCTTAATAACATTATCAAATTCATTCTTGATTTTATCTTGAAAATCTTCTATATAATCTTCGTTTGGTTCATTCTTGATTTTATCTTGAAAATCTTCTATATAATCTTTGTTTGGTTCAGTTTTAATTATTTCAATTGTAGTCGTTCCTTCGGACATTTTTAAATATCTACACTTTTTATAAGACTTAGAATTAATTAAATACAATAAATAAAAGTTTACTGCAATATAATAATTCTTTGACAACAGATAATTAACCACAAACGCTTTTAACTCCTCGCTTAAAATAAGTTTGACAATGTTTTAAAATTTGTGTTGACAAGCATAGAGACTTATTCATAGATATGAGGATATATTCGCCATAGATAAATAAACATAAATAGATCGCTATCTCGGGCAATTTGACGTTACACCCATTTTAATTTACGAATTGATCACAACATGGCAGCACATGTAGAGTATGTAAATTAACCCCTGGTATTACTTCTACATTTGTACATAAAATCAATAGCAAAAAAATATGAAAACTAGCTGTAAGTAGAATTCTGTCTTGAGGCAATTATGGCATCGTGCCTTAAGGCAAATTGCTGGAACTTCCCGTACCGTAACGAAATGTTCGAGGAATACTGAATGTTTTCAAATAGATTATTATTAATATTGTAACATTGTCTAATATTTATAAGAATTATATAAACTGAATTGCAGAGTTGAAATTATTTGTAAAGTATATTAGAACTATAGTCAGAATTAAAAATAAAATCTGAAATATATAATATGCAAAAAACTAAAAAAAAAACAAGCAGAAAGTTCTTTGAATCATTTAAATCGGACGCTTAGTTCTCTCAAAAACTGCCATTTTTTACATATTTAGCTCCGTATCTTCGAAATGGCTGGGCCTGCCTTTGCCAAAACCTAATAAACACTTCTCCCAATTATTACTAATTGAATGTTTTTTAGATCATTCAAATCGGATACTCCGTTCTCTCAAAAATTCGATTTTTATTTTCTGCACTCTTTGCTCCGTATCTCCGAAACGGCTAGACCTGCCTTTGCCAAAAACCAATCAGCTCTTTTTCCTATCGATAGGAATCGAATGTTTTTTGAACCATTCAAATCGGTTGATCCGTGCGCCCTAAAACGTGACTGGAAATTTGTATCCATACATACATACACACACACACACATCCATTTTTTTTTAGGTATGCCAAAACGTTCAGAAACCTTCAAAACGTCGAGAAATGTAAAAATTTTCAATTCAGATTTTCGGCCCATTACAATAACTTACCCTACGGGAAGTTAAAAAATTAATATTTGAAATAAAAACAAAACATACGAAATACAAAATATATTTTCAAATATATCACATACATATTTTTGAAAAATTATAAACTAACCAGAAATAACTGACTACTATTAAAGTATATTACAGACATATTTTTGAAGTACAGCAAATTAAAGAGAAATAACTTATTAATATTAATTACTTAATGACTAATAATAATATATTAAAAACTTAAAAACTAAGAAGTAAGAAGCTCAGGAGTATTGACGATGGAAAGACAAATTTAGAAGGAATGACAAGTAATGCAAAAATTTAAAAGGTTAAAAAGAACAGCAAATTTTTAAAAAAGAATGAATACTTCCCAGACAAAATAATCCTAAAAGCAAAATATATATATATTTTTTTTTTTTTTTTAGCTAATAATTAATTATATTATATATTTTTTTTTTTTTTTTTTTTTATAATTAAATTTATTTATATATATATACATTATTTTCATATCTCAGTCAGGCAGAGTTGCCTGGTATGAGAGATTATGAAAACAGTTTTCATATAATATATACATTTCATTTGACTATAATAATCTATTTCATTAATATAATATCTATATATAACTAAAAATATCTTTATATATCACTCTTCAGTCTTCTTGGTCTTCAATTTCCTTATAGTGTTTTTTTATTTTTCTTTTAAATTTATCGTCATCTTTGGTCATCTTAATATTGTTTGGCAATTCGTTATATGTTTTGCTGGCACTCCATATGACATTTTCTCTGAAATTCTTCTTTCTATTGTGTTCAATGTGAAAATTGTTGTGTTTTCTAGTATAGTGTTCATGTATATCTTGATTTATGTCTATTGTTGTGCTTGTTTTAATTCGGTTAAATTTCATTTTGTGTATTAGTTTGCATTTCTCTATTTTAATTATGTTATTTAGTGAAAGATTATTTGTTTCTCTCTGTAAGTATTTGGTGGGTGTCAGATGTGGAAAATTGTATGCTATTTTGGTGGCTTTATTCATTATTGTCTGTATGTCATTTAAGTTAGCTTTAGTTTTTGGCTCCATGTTGTTATTCCATATAAAATTATAGGTAGTATTTGTGTTTTAAGAATTAGTATTTTATTTTTTTGCCGAAAGAGTGGATCCTTTTCAATGCCCCTGTTAATGTTCCAATTTTTCTTTTTATTTGTTTATATGTTCTGTCCATGTCAGTTTTTCATTTATTATCAGTCCTAAGTATTTTATGCTTTCCACTTCTTCTATTTCTCTATTATTTACTTTAATATTTAGTTTAGTGTTCTCAGTATTTTTTTATGTTTGAAATATATGTATTTTGTTTTATTGATGTTAATTCTTAGTTTATTTTTAGTTAGCCAGTCAGTGTATGTTTTCATGTCCGTGTTTATTGTATCTTCAAGCCTTTTTTTGTCCTTATCTGCATATACTATGGCAGTATCGTCTGCATATAGTATGTATCTGCCCTTTAATTTTACATCTTTTAGGTTGTTGGTATATAGCAGATATAATAAAGGACCTAAAACAGAACCTTGTGGGACTCCACAAGTTATGCTACGACCCCCACTTGTAAAATTTCCCACCTTCGTCCTTACCACCCTTTCCACGAGAAAATCTTTAATTATGCTGTAATACAAACCTACTACCCAAATCTATTAATTTATTGAGCAATATGCCATGATCCACAGTGTCAAAAGCTTTTTGTAAGTCAATAAAAATTGCAGCTGTATGCATATTTTCCTCAAGGTGCTGACTGATGGCATTGGTCAAATCTATTAGGGCACCTTGAGTATTTGTAAGTATATTGATATCCAAATTGAGATAAAAATTAAATTCCTAGGATTAAAATTTATTTACGAGACATTCTTCTTTATTATCTCTCCATTTAATAGTTATTTTGCTATCTAATCAATCATTAATAAAGTTACATTTGACAAAATATTCGAATAGTTTCTGTATAAGTGTTTTTTAAACGTAAGTAACCAAAACCCCCTGAACTACTTTTAATTTATACCAATTGTAGCTCAAACCTATCTATCGTTTCAATTCAGTTTTTATTGCAAGGAGATTTCGTTAAAACTATAACTAAACTCTTGCTTTTTATAAACAGCCTGGTCTTTGAGTATGCTCTCTTAATTGAGACAATATCAAAATTCTTGCCCTTACATTTTACGTTTCCGGAATATTTGAATACTTCTCAGAACATTGTATACTCTGTTGGAATTTATCACTTAAATTATTGCATTTTTGTTAATCCTCTTTAATCCCGAAACAAAATTTGATATATCATACATCTTCTGGGTGTTAAGGCACTCCTACGCCTTATCACTGCATTCTGAGGCAATTTGCAACTACCACCAAGGACTTCTATTGAATATATTGTTATATCATATTTGATTAGGCTTTTAGGCTTTCATCTCCTAACTAAGAACATAAGATTCATTTATTAATATTTTTGCAAATGGTATTGAAGTATTTAGAGTTATAATTACTTGGCCTTGTCCTTTGAGTTGCACATTGTTCTTCTGGTTCTGTATTAGAGAATTCTCCAATGACTAAAACTATTCTGTTATTGCCGTAAAGGAGACACTTCTAATTGGTTTCAATTTCAAATTATCTTCGATTTGTGCCACAAACCGAAGAGTTAGATCATTCATTAAAGGATTATTCGCCCTCTGTATTCAAATTGAAAGCATCTTTTTACACACAAATTTTCACACATAAATATATATAATATACATTTCCACAAATATATATATATATATATATATATATATATATATATATATTTATAGTATTTTTATGATACTCATTATATGCATAATACATCATTATATACATACCTGATAATTGGATGGCGGAAAGACATGCATTTTTTTATTATATTTGGAGTTATAACAATTTGGCACATTACACTTTACCATTTTAACTTAATAATAAATGAAAAAAGTATTCACAAAAACAGAATTATATATAAACAATCACATGGAAGGGGAACTCAAATCGACTGAAGCGTTCGTAGTGGTCATTTTGAGCACTAAGGGAAGCTATTATATCACATTCAATATGAAAACATCGTATTCTAATATTGTCTAGGATTATAACCCAAGACAATATAATAATATATAATGATTATAACCGAAATAGTGAACAAATACGCGTGAAATATTATTAACTTCCCGTAGGGCAAGTTATAGTAATCGAAAAAAAATCGAAAATGAAAATTTTTATATATCTTTACGTTTCAAAACCTTCTGAACATTTTGGCATACCTTAGAGAAATTGGATGTATGTGTGTGTGTGTATGTGTGTGTGTTCGGATACAAATTTTTGTCGACGAATTCGGGAACACGGATGAAGCGATTTGAATAATTTAAAAAACATTCGATTCGTATTGATAAGGAGACGTGCTGATTAGTTTTTGGTGGAGGCAGGTCTAGATATGGGGCAAAATGTGCCGAAAACGGTAACTCAGTTTTTAAGAGAATGGGGCGTCCGATTTGAATAATTCAAAAAACATTTTACTTGTATTAACAAGATGTACAACAGATCAAATTTTCACGAAGGCAGGTCTAGCGGTTTCGGAGATCTAGTAAAAAAGTATAAAAACATACCATTTGGCGGTCAAAATGATCATTAGACATATGCACATCCAATTATCAGATATTTTATAGAGATTTTAACAATAAGTATAAATTTTGTTTACATTCCTTTGGATTCCGTACCGCAGTGTTTATTCGTTGGACGGCGACGCGGCGCTTACGCGCTTCGATATCTTGTCTCTATGCAGTTAAAGCAGTACGATTGCTTTGAAAAAAAGTTCAGAATTTCCAAAATATTTCAAAATAAATTATTCTTCAAAAAGTCTTTTTTTTA